GTTAAGTTGTTATAAATAATTGTTGATTATATATAAACACGTACATTCTATTCTATCGTCTACTAACTACATTTCAGATTTTGTTTCTCATTCTCTCTCGATTCTGTCTGTGTCGTGTTTTTTTCAATATCAAATCATAAGAAATATTATTATACATGATTCTTTGGCAATGCAATTCAACTAGTCTTTTAATAAATTGAAAAGCCGAATAGATGCAATATACAAATTATAGCTTTAACAAATAAACTCCATTCTCCATAAAACCCAACTTAAAAGAAATAGTATAAACTTTACCATTTTTAAAACATAATTAATTGCAAGAAAATCGTATTTAAAATATTTTAGCTTCAAAAAATCAAACATTTTGCAGCTCTAATTCCACGATGAGACAAGAAAAACAGTTAGTATACAAGGAAGAACGGCCAGTGAAAAAATAAACCAATTATAACAATCTAAACATGTTCTAAGTAATAAACTTTTTATTTCAAATTCTAAGAAAACAATTATATAGACATTTCTAAGAAAACACATAATTTAATAACTATACTTTATTCATAAACTATGTCTTTAAAATATTGAAGTTACTTCAAAGTTAATTTAAGAGTAATTATTCATCTTACAACAATTATTTCTAATATTATATTGTGTGAATCATGATAAGTTTAATGCAGCTAAAATTCAACTAATATTATTATAAAAATAAATCTTTACATCAATTGTTCTAGATATTTTATATTGATAATTCAATCAATATAAATATCGTGAATCTAAAATGAATAGTATGCGGTATAATTTCAATCTCTAAGACTTTTTTTTTTATCGTTGAGATGTTTTACTCTAAATGTCAGAACCAGTAAAATCCACGCATGTATCATTTTAGTGGAGTTCACGTGTCAAGAGGGGGACTCGACACTCAGATGACGGACGCCAGGTGTCAAGCGAAGAGATCCGGAAATCAGTTAGTGGAAAGTAGGTGTCGACAGATGAGGGGACGTTCGTTTTGACGTGGGAAGCAAAACTTGGATTTTCAGAAAATCTACTCCACTCTCTGCATGCACCCTCTTTTCAAATTTCTGAAGAATCTCATTCTCTCCTCCTTCTCTCTACATCCTCTTCATCTTCTCTCTAAGAACACACTCACTTTCTCTTTTCCGATCTCCGTTCAGCCACTGTAGAAGCACTTCCGGCGTCAAGAGCTTCCAGATAAACCGTTCTGTTTGTGAAGCTTAGCTGTTAAGTCTTTCTTTTCACCCAGTCGTTCGTTTCCTAAACATGCAAACCCAGTTCTGGGTTCCTGTGTTGATCACCATTCTCAAAATGAGTGGTTCTGATAGTGTTGGGTTGTCACTTTGTGTAGTTGGAATTGTCGAGTGTTGACTGTAGGGAAACCGGTAGTGGTGAAATTGTATTCTGCCTCTGGAAACGTTCGTTCACGCTCAGAGGTAAGGGAAGCTTATGTAATTTAATTTGTATGTTTACGGTGTTGCATGAACGTTCGTTCGAGTTGCTAAATTAAAGTGAAGTATGATTATTGTAATATTTGACTATATGATATATGATGGTTGTTATGTTCTGATGTATGAATTATATGAAACTTATATGATATGGATCTTATGAAGCATGAAAGTTGATTATGATATGAATGTATAAGGTTATGAAACTATATGTTAAGAAATGAGTTTGAAAACAAATGATTTTGATATGAAATTTCTCATATGAAAGTGTACGTTTGTTACTGAACAGTCATTGACCATTCGGTTTTTCTGGTAAACATAGTTGATATGGGATTCTTTCATTTGGGGAGAATCCTAGTTAAGGACGAGCGTCCTCGTATGGTAATACTATGCTTGAGCGTTCGGCCAAGCACAGTTGTATATGGGTATCTTGTGCTAAACTTAAATTTGTATATCTATGTAATTGTATATTTTTGTTGTTCGTAAACACTACTTCAATAGTATATTATTATATTTATCAAGCCTTTTATTATAAGTTTATTAGTGTTCGGTCTTACACCAAGCGCTCGTACTGAGTAGTGCTCGGTCTTACACCAAGCGCTCGTACTCGTTTCTTGTATAATCTATCTTGATGAAAAATAATGTTCGTCTAACTTCAATAGAATTTTATTCTCTACCGTGCTCGGTCATTGACTAGCATTCGGATTTCTTGACGTAAATTCAAATAAGCTAAAATATTCATAAACGTTCGGTTTCTTCATGTGAATTCTTCTAAGTATTATTATTGGAATGTCTTGAAGTGTCTGTATCGGTTGGTTCTGGCCTAGAGTCGTAGCACTTGGCGAGGTCTTTTCAGCGTTCGATTAGAGTTATCACGGGTCAGTTCATATAATCGATTCACTTTGTAATGAACGGTCGATCCATTCGTTTCTTGCTATATCTATTACACTCGGTTTCTCTCTCAAACCGACAGTAACCCTCTCGGTCTCGTCCCAAGTGTTCGTCCTCGTTCTGAGTGAGGATTGAACGTTCGGTATCTGGTGTCTTTATAAATCTTTGAACAAAGAGGAAATTGAAATGATTTATAATGAAAGATGAAATTGAGATGATGAATAATGAAAGATAAAACTAAGATGATTGATAATGGAAGAGGAAAAGAATATAATATGAATGAAATGTGTTGGATTATGGACGAGCGTTCCGGGGGGAACGACTCATGCTTGAATATTGAAATTGGTAAAGTATGACTTTGGGCATGCTAAGCTGGTTGTTCATCCTGATGTTCCGTGGGTACTCGTCTTCACGTAGAGGAGGGTATGTCATGTTTGGTAACTTCAGGAGGTCCTATTCCTTAGGGGTACTTTGGACAGATAGGGCTAACCTCGGGTGGCAGCTGTTGAGGGCATCCCAGTTACTACATCACCCGGGTGCACGAACGCCTGTAGCTACACAGATTTCATACTCCGGACAGTCAGTCTAGTGATAGGCATTGTATGATACGTAAAATGAAAATTATCTTATGTGTTGGATTGTTTGAAATGTATGTGTATGTATGAATTAAATTACATAAGCTTACCCTGTGTGTTTCTTGTGTTGACTTGTCTTGTACGTTCGTCTTGTCGTTGCAATGATCATCCGTGTGGATGTGAGCAGAAGGGGATGCGCTGTTGGAAGATACACTGGAAGAAGAAAATGTGGTAGAAGTTGAAGTTAAGACCGAACCTTAGGACGTTCGGTCAGTAGAGTAGTTTTTGTAATGAGGCAGTCTTTCACCTCTTTCTCATCTTTGTATGTTTGACCGTTCGGTATTTGGCTTTTGTAAACCGTTCGGTCAGACTCGTACTTATGTATTGTTTAAATATAGTAACTCGTAAAACCGTTCGGCCCTAAGCGAACGTTTTTCTTAGTGTAAGACTCAACTGAAATATTATTAAATGTAATTATTCTATTATATAGTTTATTACTGTATTTTTGGAATGTTACACTGAACAATTTAAAATTTTTATTGTCATTTTCTATATCCTTTCAAAGTTTCTCGTATACATTTATATGTTTCCTTTTACATACTTATTTAGTTGTCTTTAATTATAATTTTCTGATTACTTCAGTTCTAATCTTAACCTAACTCTAATTGTTTATTGAAGTAAATAATAAAGGCATATGCATCTTGTAAAAAAAACAAGATAAGTACGATGATTGAAGTTGTATTCAAAATTTAAAGAATTGGTATAGTTGTATTAATCCATCATGATAAGAATACCAAGTTTACAAATTGTTCAATGAAGTATTTAAAAAGATGTGATATAATATTTGTCTAATTTTTCACTTTTTGGAATAAATTTTCTTTTCATATATTATATTCTACGTCATATTAATAAATGTTATATATACAATTGAATGTATTTGTAACTAATATAATAAATATCATGTTTATGAAAATATTCTCACTTTTTTTTTTTTCTCTTAGCAACAACCTTTTGTTGAATAATGTAGTTTATATGGTATTGATGTTTTTTTTCAACTTTTTCACACATTGGATAATGTCACTTCACATATCATATACTACATCATAAATAGCAATAAATAGGATATTTCACCATCTCCACATACTAAAACCATTTAATTTTGGTAAAAAAAAATCCCATCCTAAAAGAAAGTAAAGAATTAAAAGTCCCTAGACGCATAAACTACAAATTATAGAGGTAGCAGACAAGCTTAAACCTAGAAACCCACCTTTAATAATCACTACACATCCACATATCAATAATATAAACTAATTGATCTATTCGTAAATTATTCAAATTTTATTAAATAATGAATTGATTTTTTTCTCTAAAAAATAAGATAAGTTCAAACTTAATTTTATTTTCCACTACTTAACTCAAACGTATCTATTTTACTACAATGAAAGAGAATAAAGTGTTTTCTTTTTCTTTTACATTGATAAAAAATATTTAATAACTTTATTCGTGATTAATGTGTTGAGTTATATTATTGATACTTTCTAATAAACAATTTCCCAAAATAAAATAAGTTAGATATTGAAAAGTTGTAAATACTCAAGTGTATAAAAGGTATATAAAAACTATTTTATTTTAAAAAACTGTATTTTCAAATATTTTTAGTACTTCTTTAAAAAAAATTAAGCGGGCTAAATTTTAAACGTTCGTTACAAATTCTCTCAAATTCTATTAAAATACTTTCAATTATTCAGTAACAAAATTCTTACACTGGTAAAACAAAAATTAATTGGAGTTCAATTTTCGACAAGTGAATCAACTTTGTTTGACTTATTACATTATTGTTTATAATTAAACTCCGACAAGTACTAATCAGTGTTGTAATTAAATAAGAAATGGAAAGGAATATTTTATTAAGGTCCTTAAAAATTGATTTTGATAATTATTTAATTCTTTAACCTTAGTTTAGCAAGACACTTAAACTCAAGCTTCATATTTTCTTCGCAAGTGTGGTTTGAACTTAAAAAAAAGAGAGTATAATTTGAAGTTTAAGAAAGCAGTGACTTTTGGTGGAGTTGCATATATTAGCAAGTGGGAGAGAAAGAAAACAGAGTTTGGGAGGGAATTTCCAGGAATACCCCTAACCGTTCCTCAAAGTCTCGTTCCGCAAGCGCCAACAGCGTCTCTTACACACTCTCTCCTTCTCACGCTCTCTCTCTTTCTCTCTCTCTCCGCCATGGAGAAAGGTGAGAGCTCCGCCTCCACATCGGAGCCAGACTCCGACGACAACCACCGCATCCCGACCAACCACCACCTCAACCCTCCCTCCGGCCTCACCCCGCACGAGTTGGGCTCCCTCGTCCCCTCCATCACGGAGCACCACACCTACCTCGTCGGCCCCGGTCAATGCTCCTCCCTCCTCGCCCAGCGCGTCCAGGCTCCACCCGAAGCCGTCTGGTCCGTCGTCCGCCGCTTCGACAAGCCACAGACCTACAAGCACTTCATCAAGAGCTGTGCCGTCAAAGACCCCTTCCACATGGCCGTCGGCGTCACACGCGACGTCAATGTCATATCTGGCCTCCCCGCCGCCACCAGCACCGAGAGGCTCGACCTCCTCGACGACGACCGCCGGGTGACCGGTTTCAGCATCATCGGCGGCGAACACCGCCTCCGAAACTACCGCTCCGTCACCAGCGTTCACGCCTTCGACTCCGACGCAGACGCTAAGATCTACACGGTCGTCCTCGAATCCTACATAGTTGATGTCCCCGACGGCAACACCGAAGAGGACACGCGTCTCTTCGCCGACACCGTCGTCAAGCTCAACCTTCAGAAGCTCGCCACCGTCACCGAAGGAACAAACCGCGACGGTGACCATAAGCCACACTCACGGTGAAGCAAACCAAACCAGCACTGCGCAAATCTCAATAAAAACAAAAGGAATTAAACAAAAGAAGGGATTGGAATTTGAAACAATCGCTCCCTCGCTCACCAATTCATAAAAAGAGAGAAACAAGTTATTCTCTGTTTTTCTTTTCTTTTATTTTTTTTCTTTGGAAATTCATTTACTTTTCCTTTATTTTTTTTCGGGTAAGACTCTCGTTTTGTGTTTTTGATGATTTTCTTTGGCGGTAGCTAGCATGTCCTCCTTGGTGATCCGTTGAATTTTGTTATTACAATGGGTAAGGGCAATTTGGTCAATGCAGGTGTACAGGAAATGTTGACTTGTGATGTTTGTTCTTCATGGTGTCTTTCAAACCGTTCTGTGAATATCATCATTTGCTTTTCCTCTGGATTTGATTCCGTGTACATATCTTCCCCTTTTTTCTCCGATGAGTGCAAGCCTACTTAAAGAAGATGCTTCCTTCTGTAGATTGAAGATGCTTATGGTATTATTGCACGAATCAAATAGGTTTTCTGTTAAATTTTGTTGGGAAGGTGGTATAAATGCACTTATGGCTACACCATGTGATATTTTTCAATCATCAAAATGCTTTGATTTCCATGTGCCTATAGAGTGTTTTTAATGTAGAAAGTCAAATTAGGGGTTGAGAAACAGAAATGGGAATATAAAGTAGCGGAGAGCACAGTCATAAGAGTCTCTTTCTCTCCCACAATCAAGGTGTCACCAATGCTGGAATCAATTCTTTTTGTCTTTTACATTCAACGCCATCATCGCCCTACCCTTCCATAACATAAACTGTAGAACTGGTTTCGATGGGTGGGAATAAATTAAAACAAAATTCACTCATCAACTTGGTTCATCAAAGACCATCTTTAAATGCAATTTTAGTTCCTTCCTTTGTAAGATTTTCCCAATTTTTGTTCATATCTTTAATTCAACATTTTATGTTTTCAATTTTATCTGATATTTTGTAAGTGTAGCATGCAGCAACTTATAATTCATTTTTTTAATGCCAGTTATCTCTTAATTTGTATACACCAACAAGTTAGAAATTAGTCTTTTCTACATGCAACTATTATAAGTATGGCAACGTTGTGCTTAAGTTATTCGACAGATTCACATAATCTCTATGTTTTTGCCCAAGTCATTTTATGTCAACTATTGCTTTAGTCACTTGTTTGCCAGGAAAAGATGGCTTGTGTGAACCAATTATGTTACTATTTTTAAAGTAGGAAATAAAATTAGATGAAATTAATTTTTGTTTCTTTTATTATAACCATTTCATCTACTTCTTTACTGTGAATCATCTGCCATTTCATTTTTATTTCATTGTCATAAAATATCGCAATACATTTTGGGAGTTGTGTTGGATATTTATGCTATACTAAACCCTTGTCAGGAAGCTTATTCATCCAAGTGAGCATATACCTAAAAATATCAACTGTATGCTTTTAAATATATATATTTCCACACACTAATTTTGGTTATATGAAAGCAAAAAGGAATTTTATTCCTAAATAAATTTTAATTAAATAATAAAATGTGTATGTTTATAAAAATATAATTAGAAACATATCAATAACTATTTTTTTATAACATGATGTTGGCCTAATTCTGATGAACTTTAAAAGATGTAGGTTGGTATAATCTCTAAGAATAAAAATGTACATTGCATTGAGCAGTTATATTCTTCAATTTGATAAGAATATTAGGTGGACTCACATCACAACAGAGTTCAAAATCCTTGTAAATCTTACACCAAAATTTCCATTCCCAATATAAGACTTTATTTTTAATTGGACTTTAACACATCATACAATACTTTTACAAACATTATATCTCTTTCTGTTTCTATACAAAATTTCACAACTTAAGGGTAAGCTTTGTATCAACAAATATGACAAATGTTGCTAGTAGTTCAATAAATTGCCAAAAAAAACAAGTTTGAATTGAACAAAATCTGAAGTTGAGTAACCCTATATATTATTGGTGGAATGGTAAATGGGTCAGATTTTGCAACCCATTAGGAAGGTATAACAAGAAGGTGAAGGCACCTAGCAGCAGGCAGGTTTAGTTGATAGTGTTGTTGTTTCTCATATAGTAGTAGTAGTAGGTGGAGGGCAGTGAGAAAAATGGGAGTAAATAATTGTGTCAGATGGTGGCTAGTGTGAAGCATCTTTCTCCGAATTGCAGTGTGGAAAAGGGGAATTTGTAAGAAAGGTATAAAATTGAGAAGGACCCATTTTCTGGCAGGTTTTTGTAGTGTAGTTTTGGTTCTTCTATTTGCAGGTTGAGGTTGGGTTAAATAGAAAAGGTGGCTCTTGGTACCCAATAAGGCCATTTCTAATAATCCAAATCTTCTAGTTAGCTGCATTTTTCTTAACCGTTCGTTCACAATGCTATGGCCCCATGCTTTTGCCTGCAAGTTCTGGTCGCTGTTATCATGATATTGATGCCTCGTTCAACGTGTTGCTAGCAGAGGTATGTATTAATGTGGTGCCCCTTTTTGTTTTTCCAAATCTATATGTATGTGCAGGGTTTTTCCAGTATCTATAAGCTGGCAATGTAGGGTTTTACTTTTCATCATCATATTTATTGTTTATACAAATAATAATACGAGTATTCTTTAGCCACTTTTAGGTTGTCACTGTTGAAGATACTCATGCTGTCAACGTCTCCATGTTAGGTTACTGATTTTCCAGATAGGAACGTATCAGAATGGATTTGTTAGGCAACATACATACATACATACGTATACTGACATCGACAATCGTATGGGTCAGATTTTTTCCTCTAACAACTTCCATTCTTCTATTTTGTTTCCTTCTAATCAAACTCTTAATCTCACTTCTTTTATAAATATGTTCTCAAGTTTTTCTTAGGTAATATTACCGAATTGCATGTGTGTGAAAATTCTTTTGCACTAGAATGATTTAAGGAATATCTCGTCTAACTCGGTTACTACTGATATTATTTTTAGGTTTAATAACTTATTTTATTTCATTTTTGTTAAATAATGTTAATTTAGTTTCTTGTTTTAAAAATGTTTGAAAGTGATTCTTACTTATTAAATTTTGTATCAAAATTGTCTTTTGGTTGAATAGAATCAAACTAAACTAAAACACTAATAATTTAGCACACTACAGTGGTAACATGTCAATTTAAAATTATACAGTGATAACGTGTTAAGTAGTTATATTTGGTATGGCCTTGACATTGGATATCTTACATTGAAGTTGCGATCTAAAAAATAACTTCAATCTTTCTTTAAGTCGTCATATATTTTCAATTAAAGCTAATGAAGAATTTACTTTTATCTTCAAAACAAAAAACTTGGACAAACTTTTCATACATGATGATATGATTTATTTCAGTTTTCATATACTCTTTTAAATTACATAAACAAAACTCACCTTATTAACATAATCAACCAAACTTTAAAAAAAAATGTATCACATGAAAAACAACCAACTTTTAAACATTATTTTTAAAACAATACTATCATAATTAAACAAATGTCAATCATAAAGTTTTAATTAATTGCATCAAATTTTTTAATTAATATACGTACAGTTAGTTTAGATAAAACATTTATTAAACTTTATGATTAAATATACACATGCATGGATAATAATAGAATACGCCAAAAAATAAAATAAGTATTATTTACGCCACAGTTTCTTTAAAAGGTATTAATTGGGCATATTTAAATATGATTGGATGAATTGTGGTAGTTGAATGGAAAAGGAAAAGAAAAGGAAAAATGGTAATGTGAGAAAAAGTCAGAAAAGGAATAAACTGTGTAGATTCCATAGTTTTGGGGAATGTTATATAGAAAGGAAGAGTTTCACGATATTAGAGTGTATCTGTATGAACAAGTTGCATGCAAGTGAACAAATTCAATCAAACTTCTTTTCTTTCCAACTTAGTTTTTAGTGAATTATTTGTCGCAAAACTTGCTTTATTGCTCCACCACATAATCAACAACATCAATATGTTTTCTTAATAATGCTATTTATCATTAAATCACATTTTTTTTTAGAATGATGGCACTGAAACAACAGTACCCTAATTGTGGGGGAGAAACATGTACGAATAAATAAAATTATAATTTTAATGTTTTTAGAGGTTTTAAGGTGGTACCATAAAAATTAATAAATTTAGTGTATAGAAGAAATTAAAAAAATTGTGGGGCTAGTGGAGCTGAAAAGCAAGTTTTGAACAGTCATTTTCCTGGGAAAGTTACGCAGAAGATGTGAAAAGTGAATGTATTGTATTGTCGAACGTGTGAGAGCAGAACAGCCTTTGGGGTATATCCAAATCCATCTAACTACCTTTAAATCATGCCCACGCATTAATTCGACTACACAACACAAATCTCATTATCAACTTTACAAATCTATAACCATCTTATTAGTGGATTCAAGGAACCTTGCTTAACCAAAATTAAAAAAGAATGCGCACTCTTTTTCTTTTTACAATGAATTTAATTTTTTTTATACACTATGGTATGTTTTTTATTATAGATTGAAGTTATTTATTTATTAAGTTTGGAATTTGTCGTTATTTATTTTTCAAATAGTTTTATCAAATTAAAAGGTTATCTATAAAAGATACTTCAATTTTAAAGTTCGAAAAGTTTAACACATTCAACCGTTAAATGTATAATAAATATAATTATTTTTTTTATATTAACTGCATTTATAGATTTTAAAATACAAAAGACTAATCATGATTTAATTGGTATTGATTATGTTTTACAATAAGTTAATCTCTATCAGACTTTATTATTGTTTTAAAATGATTAATCATATGATACAATCTTAACATTTTAGGTAGTTATCATGATATTTTTAACTATGTAGACTGACTGATCCAAGATGAATTGAACAATAGAGTTTATTTTAGTGTTTAGTAGAAAGGGGTTTTGATAGAATTAAAAAAAAGAAGATGGTTATGAATTATTGTGGATTTGAAGTTGAAAAAGATGTATAAAGAATATTTGATCCTTTTTTAAGAACATATGGTTTGAGTAAACATAGCACGTGAAGAGCACTATAAGAAAGGCGAACGAAAGCGACAAGGGGGCTTTTGAGATGATCCAATTGATACAAGTTGGCAAGTTGATACCAAAGAAAAGAGGAATAGAAGCTACAAACACTAACTTTAGAGGACTCAAATGCTTAACTATTTTCAACCCATTTCTCTTTTTCTTTTCGTTGTTATTGCTTCTTTCTCTCACCCAAAAACTAGTGGCCACAATCACAACTAATCCCAATCAGATCAAACTATTTGTAGGGCCACACCAATCATATTTCCTTCCTGTTTCTAGATGCTCTTTCCCTCTTTTATTTTAAATAGGTTTAATGGGTTAGTAGGGATGTATTTTC